ACAAATTGTTAAGTTCAAAAATGTTGAGGTATGTAATTGTTTTGTATGTGCATGTAAGTTTCATTATGAAAGTTCAAAAATTAAAAATTTCTATTTTTGATATTTTTTCTTTACTTATAAAAAAATGAATCATTTTTATTTAACAAATTGTTATCTTTAAATGTGCAGATAATATCAAGACATAATATTAGATTCTGTTTTTCTTTTATGTGTTGTTTCTGTTGTTTGTCTATTAGTAAATAGACAAATAAAATTCAATGGGATTGTTTGGTACCCGAAAACACCTTTTATTAATTAAGCTGATTTCAAATACTGCTTTTATTTAATAAAATTAAATCAACTTTGTTGTTCAACACAAGTGTGAATTGTCACTTTTTACACAATAAAAAAATAAAACCACTAATCATAAATTCAAATTATATAACATTTTTTGTTTCTTTGATTTTAAAAACAAAGCATCAAAACAAGTTAAGGTGATATACTTTTAATTGTTTGCTTATTAAAATAACTTGTTCTCATTAAAATTAATTATTACGTACACATTTTACATGACAGAAGTTTTTAATTCTCCAGGAGAAAAAGAGCAAGTCTCTTTGTCGATGAGTTTCTTTAAAACTATTTCATTGACTGTTTTCCCATAACTTCTTATCATATTTTCATCTATACAACATCCGTTCAAAAACACATTTTCAATTGTTTCGCGTTTTACCGTCTCCTTCTTTCCATGAGACTTTTTCACAGTAAAAAACACTCCCATTTCACCAAGAAGGTCTTGAAAGAGTTGAAGCATTTCATTGACTCTGTTCGACTCCACTCTCCTTTTTGCGGTTTTCTCTGTTATACCTTTACTAATATCAACATTTTGTCGTTCTTTAGCTCTTTTCTCACAAAACTTTTCGACTTCGATCACATCATTAGCTGACTCGATACTCTCGATTCTGAGAAGTTGTTCAAATGCGTTAGCTTTTTTCAAATGATGGCGGAATTTCAGTGTAAAAACGTTGTTAAGGAGTAAAAGTAACATACCTTGTTCGAACACTTGATAGTTTCTGACTTCTCTGAAATCACTTCTTTTAAGAGTGAGATGGGTGAGCATTGAACACTGATTCATCTGTAGTTCGGTTTATATAAGCGAAAAGATACTTGTTATATTTTTACTTCATTTTTATGTCTTTTGAAAGGAACACATATCCACCTTTGTTCTTGCATTACGGGATCTCCGTGGAGTTTAACATTCTTTTATTTTTTTCCATTTGGGAATTAATACCATTGTATACATTTTTGATTAAATATTTATTTATACTAAACTAGAATTGAAAAACACTTAGACTTATTTGTCTTCCCAAATATGCATTTTAATTAATAAAATGGATGTCATAAATAGATTTTTGGAATTAAATTTTTACCTATTTAACCACAGTATTAGATTGTTTTCCCGATATTTACATCAAAAATGATTAGTTTATATATATATAAAAAATTGTTTAATTTCAACATAATTTTTGAGAATGAAATTAATTTGATGGTTTTTGGGTTTTTTTCGTACAAACAATCAGCTTTCCAAAAGTAGCGAAAAATACCTCAAAAGAAAAAGGAGTTACTTGGGGGTTCAAATTCATTAAAATCGTTACAAAAAAATGGCATTTGTAGAAATCGATTTGCCACCATTAGATTAATTTCCAATCTAAAACAAAAAGTCTCTGAAAGTCTTATCTGCAAAATAAGTGAAAGTAAAGAACGTTTAAGCAGATAAAACCATTGTTATAAATATAGTCATCATTTTAACGTTTGCAAGACAAAAATATTATGATGTGTATGGTACAAAAAAATATTTAGTGTTAAAAGACTTATCCTATGATTTTTTGAATATAAGAAAATATATATAAAAAACTTAACAGAATATAAAAAGAGAGTAGAGTCAGTCCTTAAACGTTATCTTGTGGACATAAAATAGCTTTATTTTTGTCTAAACATCGGGCATTAGGTAAATTATGAAAAAACCTGAAACAATTGAGACGGATTTTTGGGATGGCTTCCCGAAATATTACAATTTTTATGGTCCAAAAGGTACCAGATAACGTTTAAAAAACAGACTGTAAAAAGATATCACTGTTAATCACAACAAATTCATTTAAAAAAACAGTACAATAAATAAAACGTGGTTTCATTTAATGTGTAAACTTGTAACATCAAACTAGAACTTTAAATGATAACACTAAGATTAAGACACTATTACATTAACAAAAATTTTAAATACCGAATTTTGGCTCCCAAACTTATGTACATTAAATAAAAAAAACATTTTCATTCGTCTAAAATTTTAACATGAATTTTTTTTGTAAAAACGTAACATAAAATAGTTTAACAGGTTTTATTTTTTGTGTATTTTTTTCTGTTAATTTATTTCACCATAATACCGTTTTTGCTTCAATCTATTTTTTTGAATAACTAAAACTTAGCCTTACTATTTTTTATTAATATCAAACCATTTACTTTGAATGTATTATTATGATAATATTTTCATTTGATTTTATAAATTAATTATGATATTAATGTAATTATACCATTTTATCAATAGCAAATAACGACTTTGTAAAGGTACCAAAATTTTTCTGTTTTTAAACAACAACAAAAACGATGTTGTCCCGAAGATGATAGTTGGAGTAATAATTCTTTACTTTCGACGCGTTGTTTAAGAAACGATATTCACAATTATTTTTTTGTCAAATTGAATATGTTTGAAAATATATATTATATTTGAAAGAAAATATACAACGGTGTTTGTTTCAATAGTCTAATCGATCTTGTTATTCCGCTACTTTTTTATCACTAATTAATAATTAGTTTATTTTTTGAAACATAAAATATAGTTGTTTTTAAGAACTATATAGTTTTTTTTATTTTTCAAGATTGTTTTTCACCAACTCAGAATTTTTGTTCACATCTCAAAAATAATCAAATTAAATTTTAGATAGATTTTTAGTAAAAAAGTTGAAAACAATCACACCAATAAGTTGGATAAAAACAACTGAACGTATTACAAAGAATTAAAAAAACGCAAAACAGACAAGCCAGAAAACTATTATCTTTTTAAAAAATTGAATTACAACAAACTGTGTTATAGAATGTATTACAACAATAAGTGAACAAGTTTGTTATATGTAATGTATATATTAATCTATATATTCAATAACAATGACAATAATGGTGGTTGAAATGTACTTGATTGTGAATCTGTTTTGGAAACTCCAAGTACATCGCCAATACTAAAAATTTTATCGGCTTGAAAATATATGTCTCGGGATTTCTGATGTTTCTATTGAGTAAATCCCGAAAAAATATAAAAATTATATCTTCGATATAATATCTTATTTAAACTAGTTCTTATTTGTTAGTTGGTTTGAGTAATATCCTTGTGCAGAAAAATGTTAAGAAAAAATAAAACGGGCATGACAGTCTTTTTTAAAAGACCAAATGACAAAAAAAGAAAAAAATAACACTGCCTAATAAAAAAATTAACAGGGAAACAAAAAAACGTGTTAACAAAACATTTAAAGGTTGTTAAGAAATAGAGTCGAATTTAATTCAGTTTATTTCTAAGAAAACAGGGTTTCAATTATTCACAAAGCAAAGTTATCAACACAATTAAATGTTTTAATGTTCAAATTAACTATTGACATATTTACAATATTGTTAATATAAATTCAATTGTTAAATATAATTTGGCAAATTATCATTTTTTTCAAAATTTGTTGTATATTAAAATTAGTGAAATTTTGGCAAAGACTAACTACATAATTAAATTGAAAATATACAATTTACCACACATCATAAAATTGAAATATTCATATATCAAATACAAATAACGAAAACAATAACACTGTAATACAAATAAACGTACCATTTAATATATAACATTGTTTGAATTTCAAACAAAGCTTAAGCTTTATATAATTTGTTGTAAACGTTATGTAAAATATAATCTGCATATATTCAAATTAATATTTATAAATATAATAATTAAATATAAAATGACTTGTGAAAAGTCACAAAATGATTAATTTATAATTCGACTTACTAAAATATGAATATTAGACGTGTTTAAACATGTATCATTTAATGGGTTATTTTTCCAGTGGACAGATAATGTAATTTATTTAGTAAAATATCAAAATTAAATAACACAAAATGTGTTGACGATATGAGTCATTTATGATAATTTTTATTATCGTGTTATATATTATTATAGTCTTGTTTTCAATGTTTTTTAAAGGTTTAATAAATAATTATTTATATATAATAATTTTGATGTGTTGTTGATTATAATTAATAATATTAGATATATATTTAACTAAGTTGTTGTGAGCATTTTACAGCCATTAAATATTAATATTTAACAGTATGTTTGTGGGTTTAACTTCATCAAATCATTTTTTGTTTAGAATTTTTAATTTAAATTGAATCAATTCTTGTTTAGTTGAACCGTGAAATGCAAATCTCGAGCTGTTTTAACTATGTCTTAAACATTTTTAACATGCATTATATAAATTATGTATTTCTTTCAACTCGAACATAAAATCAATTATTTAATTATCAAAAACATTATCTAAAGCAGTTGTTTAAAGTGATTGATTTGTTTTTTCATTTTATGTCATAGAAATCAATAGTTCCAAAACAAACAATTAATTAACTCCCAAAAGCATTCTTTTCA